ACGGAGTCTCGTTCTATCACCCAGGCTGGAGTGCAGTGGCATGATCTCGGCTCACTGAAACCTCTGCCTCCTGGGTTCAAGCAATTCTCCTGCCTCGGCCTCCCAAGTATGTAGGATTACAGGTGCATGCCACTACACCCAGGTAATTTTTGTATTTTTGGTAGAGATAGGGTTTTGCCCTGTTAGCCAGGTTGGTCTCAAACTCCTAATCTCAAATGATCCACCCACCTTGGCCTCCCAAAGTGCTAAGATTACAGGCGTGAACCACCGTACCCGGCCAGCAGAATTGTTTCTTGTTCGCTTAAAATATCCTATTTATATCAAGTATCATAAGCTGATATAAAGACAGTCCACTTTCATGTTACCTTTCCAGTATAACTAAAATATATTTGTTTTTTTGTCAAAAACAATTTTAACTTGTGTTTTTTGTGACGGAGTCTTGCTCTGTCTCCAGGCTGGAGTGCAATGGAGCAATCTCGGCTCAATGCAACCTCTAACTCCCAAGTTCAAGCGATTCTCCTGCCTCAGCCTCCCGAGCAGCTGGGATTACAGGGGCCTGCCACCGTGCCCAGCTAATTTTTGTATTTTTAGTAGAGATGCGGTTTCACCATGTTGGCCAGGCTGGTCGTGAACTCCTAACCTCAGGTGATCCACCTGCCTCTGCCTCCCAAAGTGCTGGGGATTACAGGCATGAGCAACCATGCCCAACCAGCCAACAATTTTAACTCTTTAATGGAATTCATACACAACATGCTAAGAATTAGAACACCAGTGCTTTGCTATGTGACTCCAAATGAATCACTCTAGTTTAACTTCTATTAGTTTGTCAGCAAACAAAGACATTAAAAAAAATTTTTTTTAGGGGAATAATTAACTTCAATGGAAAAGCAGATCTGGGCATGGAGGCTCATGTCTATAACCCCAACACTTTGGGAGGCTGAGGTGGGTGAGTCATTTAAAGTCAGAGGTTAGAGACTAGCCTGGGCAACATAAAAAGACCCCATCTCTATTAAAAATAATAATAATAATTAGCCAGGCATGGTGGTGCATGCCTGTAGTCCCAGCTACCTGGGAGGCTGAGGTGGGAGGAGCCATTGAGCCCAGGGGTTCAAGGTTACAGTGAGCTATGATCATACCAATGCACTGGACTCCAGCTTGGGCAACAGAACAAGATCCTGTCCCCCAAAATAAAAAAAAAATAAAAAAATTTTTAAAAAGGCAGAGATCTGAGTTTCCTTATCTAACATTAAATTGTAATGGAAACAATCTATCATAAAGCCAGTTTGAAATGGTATAACAACAGGAAATAAAAAAAAATAAATTTAAATTTTTAGTTGAAAAATTATCTATTTCATACACCCCCATAATATAATTAATCAATTTAGTGCATCGTAGTACAACAGTACTAAATAAGATAAAAATATTGAACAGCACACCCAAAATATACAACATTTGTGAAGATTAATTTTAGAAAAACATGGAGATAATGACTCCAGTAAATATATTTGAGTTAGGTTCCAATTAAATATAAATGACTGCATTTTTTCAAATATGGTTAAGATTTAATAATGCAATGTACTTATGCTTACAAGTTACACTACAACATTTTAGTTAGGTTAAAAAGATCATTTTAGTGTTTAATAAAATCAGTTTTGACCATAAATTTTATTTTGCCAGTGAAATATTAATCTGTGCCAGTGATGGAAAATGAGTTATGCCTCAATTTATGTAAAACACAAAATTCTACCAGAAAATATTTCCTAAATGTTTAAAATTTTCAATACCTCATAGCTGATCTGATTCATTTATCATGAGTTGCGAATTATTCAGGAAAATCAACCCCATTGTTAATAGCAGAGATCCCAAATTTATTCCATAGTAAAAAAAGAAGAGGTGATTGATTTCTTAGAGCGACCTCAGTAAAACCCCAGTATGAGATTAATATTTGCTAACATGAGAAAGTTATAAAAATTCAAGCCTTAATCCACAGATAATTTTACATGGATGAAAGCTGATTTTCTCTCCACAGTTTGTAATTTTTGTCACAATGTTTAACACACTTACATTTTTGTCTTTCAGCCAGGGGTCCCCTGCAACAGGCTGATAAGCCACAGGATATCTCCTTAAAATCTATGTGATTGTCACGATTTTCATCAAAAGCATTAAACAAACCTATAAAATAGAAGGCACCATAAATTACAGGCAAGCTTCCTAATGTTAATAATGACATGTTTACGATAAAAGGAATGAGTGTTTCCCGTAAACTGAACTTTTAAAAAAAATTATTAGTAGTTTCTAATTTTCAGGAAGTATCTCTTTTTCTCTTGGTGTAATTATAACTGAAACTTGTGATCATGGCAGAAAACACATTATAATCCTTTTTATCTATATTTATCTTCCTTATAATTTTAATGGCTAAAATGCCAATATAATTTTGACATAAATAAATATTAAAAACCAAAAAAAGGTCAGAAATTATAACAATTATCCTTACTTAGTGAGACTAAGAAGAAAAAGGGAAAAAATAAAATCTGAACTTCTTATTAAATGATACACTATGATATCATTAATAAGCTCCCATAAAGCTCTTTCATGAGTCAAAGGAAGATACACTACCATGCAACACGAGAGAAAGAAATTCTTTACTACAGTGTCTGTACTGCTTAATCTTTTATACATGAATATTTTAAATTTCACAAAGGAAATTTATAATCTCATGCTGTGGTTTTCAAACATTTTATAAAAAACAGAAATGAAATAATTTTGTTTTCAAATGAAATGAAACATCAATCCCAATTCTAAAAAGGTAAAAACACACTGCCCTGTTGTTGAAGTAGGTAGAAACCCAGAGCCCTATCTGCCCTGGATCCCCTGACAAGTACTTCCGAAGTACCCTAGAAATGTAAAGAATACAAATTGTATATTTCAAGAATATAATGCAGCGTTCTCAGTTTAGTGATTTGAAAACTAAAGCTCAGAGAAGATTACATGACTTGCCAAATATAAGTTTAAAAAGATCAGAGATGGAAGCAGAACCCATGTATTCATATTCCAAATATGATTTTTATGATGTGCTCACAATTACTCTTTGTACTCTTTATTTTTAAAAAAGTAACAGCAGGCCGGGTGCAGTGGCTCATGCCTGTAATCCCAGCACTTCGGGAGGCCGAGGTGGGTGGATCACCTGAGGTTGGGAGTTTGAGACCAGCCTAACCAACATGGAGAAACCCCATCTCTACTAAAAATACAAAATTAGCTGGGTGTGGTGGCATGTGCCTGTAATCCCAGCTACTCAGGAGGCTGAGGCAGGAGAATTGCTTGAACCTGGGAGGTGGAAATTGCGGTGAGCTAAGATTGTACCACTGCACTCCAGCATGGGTAACAAAAGCAAAACTCCGTCTCAAAAAAAAAAAAAGTAACATCAGTAAGTTTAAAGCTAGAGAGCACCTCAGAGATAATCTAGTCCAGTAGTTTCTTAATCTTTTTTTGCAGGGGAGGGTATAGCAGTGGAATCTTCTTATGTAAAAGAAAAAAAGTAGAGGCACCCTACTGGAGGAAGAGATGAGGTCCTGTGTGAAAACATGGAGCTCTGCCCATCCAGTGGCCGCCATGTGACTCCAGGCAGCAGCTACTAATGCACCTTACTGAAACATAGTATCACAACCACCGACTTGGTCAAATACATATTATACATGAGCATCCTCACGTGCAGAGAGCTACACTAATTTATGCAAGGTTATTAACAGGTAGAATATCAAGCTCAAAACTATAATATTAATTCCCATTCGTTTTTCCCTACTCCATTACACTACTTAGAAGAAACCTGAAAACATATAAGAAGATGGTCATTCAGAGTTAAAATGTGAGTTAAAATATGAGATGGGTTCAGGTATGTTTACCAATGAACATATGTAGAAAACGGAATGAGTCCTACCTTCACTTAGAGATGGACGAATAGGTGGTGAAACCAATGGGCCAAATGTCTCTAAATCAAATCGTCCAGTCCGGGATTGAGCCTTCAATAACCAATAGCGTTTCTCCAGATCAATGATGTCTGATTCCTCCACTAAGGGTCAAATCAAAACAGATTATAAAACCTCAGAATTCTCTTCTCGGGAGTTCAGTTCATCCTGATAATATATCTTCCACAGATATATTTTAGTTTCACAATTATATTGCTAAAAAATAATCACAACCAAAAATAAAACTCAAATTTATTATATCCAAAATGGTAGAAAAATTAAAACAAAATGAGGTTTCAAAACAGAAAAAAAGAAATCTATAATTCTCCATTCAAGTAGGCTGTTTAAATCCAACATTTAAAATAATATACAACTAAGTTATTTCTTTTGGGTTTCTCACACCACTTTTACCTGTACTGATTTTATTATTTTTTTTTAAAGAGACAGGGTTATGCTCTGCCACTCCCAGGCTGGAGTACAGTGGCACGAACACAGTTTCCTGCAGCCTCAAACTCCTGGGCTCAAGCCATCCTCCTACCTGAGCCTCCCAAGGAGGTAGAACTACCTGTGCACGCCACCACATCCAGCTAATTTTTTAAAAAAATTTTGTAGAGATGGGGTCTCACTATGTTGGTTAGGCTGGTCCCAAACTCCTGGCCTCAAGCAGTCCTCCCACCTCTGCTTCCCAAAGTGTTGGGATTACAGGTGTGAGCTACCATCCTTGGCCGTTTTTGTTTATTTTCAATCTCTATTTTGGATTTAATGTTTCTGTGTGGAGCTTCTCTCCCGATAGACTGTAAACATCATAATGGCAGAACCCATGCTTGATTCATCCTGTCAACACAATTAATGACTTACACATCAATACCTATTGAATAAATGGAAAAAGTCAAAATCGACAGAGGAGGTGGAGTAGGAGTAACTATGTACTTTGTGATAATATTAGCAAAGCCATGAAAGCATGCACATCTTTCCTCATTCCTCAGAATATACATCAAAAATTGCAGATAGGCTCTAAACCATTTTATCTGTGTTTGTTTTTTCTCAAAGGAACTAAAGTAAAATTTAGAAAGCATATACAAGACATTTATTGTCAACTAAACAGGAACCAAAGTGATCCTATTAAAATGTAAATCTAGAAATTTCAAATTCTATCTATAATGGAGTAACTAGCACCAGACTTGCCCTCCTACCACAAATGACCAGAAAACTGTGTAAAATATATAAAACTGTTTCTAGAAATTAGAGAATAAGCAGTACAAAACTGTGATCCTTGAGACAAAGGAAACAAATAAGGAGAGCCCTTTCATTGCCCTGGATTTTTTCTCACCATCTCTTTCCAAACCTTAACAAGGGATGAGGACTGTAAGGGGTTAAGAAGATAGGCTGGAGGTGAGGTAGCTGAATTTTGCAGAACAGAGTACTGGAGAAGAAAGAGTTATACCAAAAAAAAGCTCCAGAAATCTGCACAGGTGTCTTACTGAGTTTTGGCAGAATAGTAAGCTGTGTATACACAAAGTGAAACACATTGAGGCTGGGCTAGGTACAAATGCTGGAAAATCGTTTTGTTTTGTGTTGTTGTTGTTGCTGTTTGAGACAGAATCTCGCTGTCACCCAGGCTGGAGTGCAGTAGCATGGTCTTGGCTCACTGCAACCTCTGCCACCTGCCTGGGTTCAAGAGATTCTTGTGTTTCAGCTTCCTGAGTAGCTGGGATAACAGACATGTGCCACCACACTAATTTTTGTATTTTTAGTAGAGACGGAGTTTCGCTGTATTGCCCAGGCTGGTCTCAAACTCCTGGCCTCAAGTGATCTGTCTGCCTTGGCCTCCCAAAATGCTGGGATTACTTACAGACATGATTCCATCACACCCAGCCCAAATGCTGGGAAGCTGTAAGCTAATAAAGTCCCAAAGCTCATGCAGTGGTGGGAGATGTCTGAGTTGTGACCAGCTGGAGTGGAAACACTTTGTTAGGCAGTGGGAGCATTTGTGGACTCCAGCGGGTCTCTACTTAATAAGCAGGGAGAAACTAACTCTAGAGTAAAGGCTACTCCAAACTTGTCCCAATGAATCTTACAAACAATCCTGGAAAATATGGAGCTGATGCATAAGTAACTTAACTGCCTAGCAAAATAAAATACAACTTCCTTTTTTAAATTTATTTTTAAATTTTTATTATTTATTTATTTATTTTAAGATGAGGTTTTACCATGTTGGTCAGGCTGGTCTTGAACTCCTGACCTCAAGTGATCTGCCCTCGTTGGCCTCCAAAGTGCCTGGATTACAGGCATGAGCCACCATGCCCAGCCTATTTTTTTTATTTTTTATAGAGACAGGGTTTCATCATCTTGGTCAGGCTGGTCTCAAATTCCTGACCTCATGATCCACCCACCCGCCTTGGCCTACCAAAGTACTGAGATTACAGGCATGAGCCACAGCACCCAGCCACAACTTCCTTTTTTAAAGAGAGACAATAATCCAGATGCTCAGCCATGTAATATCCACAATGTCTATCATCCAAAGAAAACATGAAGCAGTAGAAAAATGTGACCCAAAATCAGGATTAAAAATAAGTCACTAGAAAAAGACCTAGAAATAACAATGATGTAATTAGCAGGCAAAGTTTTAAAGTATCTATTACAAGTATCTCAGGAATTAAAGAAAAAGATGCATATACCTAGGAAAGAAATGGCAACTATAAAAAAGTATAAACTGGAACTACTAAAGATGAAGAATACAATACTTGAAATTAAAAAAAAAATTCACTAGAGGACTTAACAGCAGATTAGAAACTAGAGAGGAAAGATTAGTGAACTTGAAGTCTAGGCAAGAGAAACTATCTAAATGATAGCATAAAGAGGAAAAAGGCTAAAAACATATTAGAATCTTAGAGACCTGTAAGATAATATCAAACATACATACAATTGGGATCCCAGAAAGAGATTGGCAGAAAATATTTGAAATAATAATGGCTGAAAACTTTCTAAAATTCATGAAAACTATATTCCCACAGATCCAGAAGTTCAATGAACCTTGTGTTAGAAGACTCAAAACCATAATAAGGCAAGTCATAATCAAACTAGTGATAAAGAAAAAAATCTTAAAAGGAGCAAGATGGGGGAAAAACACATTACAAACAAAAGAACCAAGATAATAGTTTCTCTTCAGAACAAAAGCCAGAAAGCAACAGGGAAGTGCTGAAATAGAAAACAAAACTGCCAACCTCAAATTCTGTATCTTGTGAAAATATTATTCAAAAATAAACACAAAGTAGATTTTTTTTGACGAAGCGGAAATAGCAGAACCACACCAAAAAGAATATTAAAGGGCATTCTTCAGACTAGTGAAGTGTCTATTAAAGAGTTAAAATCATCAATATATATAATTAGAAGCCACGAAGGCTACAATAGATAGACAAACACAAGACAGACAATTCACAAAAACATGGGATAACATTTAATTTCAGTACTAAAAAAAATTTCAGAAGAAAAATGTAAACAGAATAAGGCTAATAATACTACTACTCTGTCTCAAAACCTTTCGATACTTCCCCATGATACCTGCACGGCTTACTCCCACAACTCCTTCAGATCTTTACTCAAATGTCACATTCTCACACCATCCAAACAGCACCCCATTCAAAGATATTCCTCTATCCATCTTCCCTGTTCTATTTTACTCCATAGTACTTATCACCTCTAATATAACAAAATTTATCGATTTGATTTGTTTTTTGAGAGTCTCCCCTAACTAGAACATATGCTTGAGGGCAAAGTTTCTGGTATGTTTTGCTCACTGTTATAGTCTAACACCAGAATAATTCCAGGCACATTTTGAGCACTCAATAAATAAGTTTAATGAATAAATGAGAATTATTAACTGGGTGTGGTGGCTCACACCTGTAATCCTAGCACTTTGGGAGGCCAGGGTAGGTGGATCACCTGAGGTCAGGAGTTTAAGACCAGCCTGGCCAACATGGTGAAACTAAAAATACAAAAATTAGCTGGGTGTGGTGGCATGTGCCTGTAATCCCAGCTACTCAGGAGGCTGAGGCAGGAGAATCATCACTTGAACCTGGGAGGCGGAGGTTGTAGTGAGCCGAGATTACACCACTGCGCTCCAGCCTAGGCAACAGAGTGAGACTCCATCTCAAAAAAAAATTATTTGTTGAGCTATTTTATATATACTACACATATACCCCTCACACCCTTCTTCAGGATAATGCTAACTGTGATAAAAGATAACAATTAGTACCAGACATGACCTTGGCATCTAGTAACTTTTATTTATTTATTTATTTTCCTGTTAGGTCAGTTTAGCAAGGTAACTCTTAAGTTACCTGGGAAGACAAGAACAAAGTACCCTAAATTTCCAGGGCCTTCAAAGCCTTTGATTACATACGTGTGTGTGTGTGTGTGTGTGTGTATTTCATATATATATATTTTCCCCCCTACAAAGGCAGAATCTCACTCCATTGCCCAGGCTAGAGTACAGTGGTGTGATCTCAGTTCAAATGTAACCTCTTCCTCCAGGTTCAAGTGATTCTCCTGCCTCAGCCTCTGGAGTAGCTGGGATTACAGGCGCCCGCCACCACACCCGGCTAATTTTTGTATTTTTAATAGATGAGGTTTCACCATGTTGACCAGGCTGATCTCGAACTCCTGACCTCAAGTGATCCACCTGCCTCAGCCTCCCAAAGTGCTGGGATTACAGGTATGAGCCACCATAACCAGCCTCCCTAGCAGTTTTAATAAAAACTTCAGGGGGAAAACTTTTTTCCCATCAGCAAGATAATTAAGACATAGTCATACCAGTATGTGTATCCGTATCGCATTTGTGCAAGAAATACCACCATCATGAAAAGCACTGAATAAATAAAAATATACATCTCACTATTTTATATAGGGTTTTTTGGTTTTATTTTGACAGGGCCTCACTCTGTTGCCCAGGCTGGAATGCAGTGGCATCATTAGTGGCTCATTACAGCCTTGACTTCCCTGGCTTAAACAATCCTCCCCCCTTCAGCCTCTTGAGTAGCTGGGACTACAGGTGCGCACCCCCATGACTGGTTTCTTTTTTATCTTTTGTAGAGAAGAGGTCACT